CTCTCTCTCTCTCTCTCTCTCTCTCTCTCTCTCTCTCTCTCATCGTCTGCCATTAGCTTTCTCTCTCTGTGCCTAGCGGTGGGGGGGAGAAGAGGAGAGGATGATCGAAGCGACGAAACTACAGCGGCGACGTGGAATCACTAAAATTAGCAATTCGGTAGACACGGGTCTTAAATGAGGACACAAATGTCTACAAAATGGCGAACGATGTCTTTTTTTCTCGATCATTTTCTAGTTCAAACCACTCGTCGACAGCGATGGCAAGAAGAAGGGTCAGGTTCGCGGACTGGGAACGGACATCGCTCTCATTAGCAGCATGGTGTTTCTGGCGCAGTTCATACTCTCCGCCTGCATGGGCGGAATCGTGCACGCTGTCGGCAGCACCGTAGCCGTCATAATATGCGCCGCACTTCTGAGTTTCTGCGGTGCCGTGAGCGCCACCTGGGTGATGTATGTGGACTTATAGAGCTGGTCATCGTGAGCTACGGTTACTCTCCGTGTCCGTGGAACAGTGGTACGGTGTCTGTAATGCGATATAACACCGTCCACCGTCTAGAAATGTGGTAACTAGTTTTAGAGTTAGTCTTTGATGGATGGACACCCCGTTCCCAGTACTCTCCAACGTGACAGCGTTGTTTCACACAACAGAAAAAAACGCAATGCTTGCACTACATAACTATATACGATATATATAAGTTAGTATATAAAGATCAGTGCGCATTCCTCGCTGAATCATCGATAGGATGCACGGAGCAATAACCGCAAGGTGGCGCTTCGGCAAACATTAAAAGCTACATCGATAAATTCAAAACACGTTATTTTCCGCCATGTAACTAACTGGCGGCACAAAGTCTAACCAAATCTCGCACGCATACAGCGTGACGGCGAGACGCCTGACTGCTACTGAGTATAGTAAGTATATTGAGCTAGCTCTCATGGTATAGCACATTCATCACTCCCGTATAGACGTCTTCCGCACTGAGACTGCACTCTGGTTAATTAGCCACTGAGACAGGCGGGTGTGTATACTCCCGCGCCACGCCGCGCTCTCGGTGAAAAATGCGCTGCTATCACGCGACGAGACGCACGTCGCACGTACACCACCCACTCGTTAAACACACACACACACGCACGCGCGCGCACACACACACACACACACACACAGACACACACACACACACGCACACACACACAAGCGCGCGCGCACGCACGCACGTACACCACCCACTCATTACACACACGCACACGCGCACACACACGCGCGCGCGCACGCACACGCACGCACGCACGCACACACGCACGCACGCACACGGGTACACCACCCACTCATTACACACACACACGCGCGCGCGCGCACATACACACACGCACGCACGCACGCACGCAGGTACACCACCCACTCATTACCCACACACAAACACGCGCGCACACACACACACACACACACACACACACACACACACACACACACACACACACACACACACACACACACACACACTACGTACGACGACGACACACACACGACGACGACGTACGACGTAACCGTAGTACGTAACGTTAACGTACCGTACGACGTAGTA